TTAGACAGGACCGACATTACTTAGTTGCAAGATCAATTCTTGTCCTTCTTCAACTAAAAAAATATAGCTATGTATGTATATGGCTAAATGAGTTGTTCCCAAATTATTTTGAACTTCCATTTCCTTGGCACCCAAACCTCATTCGATTGCATACAGTGAAAGTTTATCTTTCCCTTGATAGCTGTAAATAACAAGTAATCTAACACAAGTCAACAGTCCTACCAGTCTTGATCCTTGACCCTTGTAAATATGAAAACTTGATCACCAAGTCCTCTTAGTGTCTGCAGCTTGATCTCTTTGGAGTGTGGTGTGTTTCCTGTCTAGATCATGATTTGTTAGTACACTACCCAGATAGTTAGATTTCTACATCTCCTTGAGTTCAACATCTCCAATGTGTAACTCACATCTTGTGTTATCCCTTTTGCTCACAGTCATGTATTTTGTCTTTAGTAATCACACACATACACACACACACACACACTCCTTATTAAACTGCGCTTTCTGATATAACTTATTGTATTCTTTCTTATACTTCTTGTTCTCCCTGAATCTAGAATAATACAACTTAAATCTGATTTGCTACATTCTATTTCTTTCTCTCTAACTCATTTCAAGTGCTGTGTCCCTCCATGACAAAAGCGATGATGGCTCTTCATACTGTGCTTTTTTCTTAAAATATCTTTAAACTGTTAATTGCTATGATATTTCTTAGGAAAAATAGTAGAATTGTTTCCTGTTACCACCTTCATATAGTACTTCTTCTAGATTGGCTGCCATCCAAGGCTAAAGAGTCCATCTACCCTGATACTCAAGCCATAGATGAGAGTAGAAGAGAAGGATTCATGACTTTCTCAAAGGCATTGGTATGGAGTTAACACAGTCTATTCCCAAACTTGAACTATGCTTGTCATTTCCATTTTCCACATTGTTAACCTTTTGTCTTCCTACACCCTGACTAATGCTTCTTCCAAATTATGAGAAAAGAGAGAGAGAGGTGACACTTTGGGCAACTTTACCCAAGCAGTAGTCTGCTGTACAAATAAATGTCAGGAGGCCACCATTTTGAGCATCTCTTGTTTACTGTAGTGTCCAAAGGTAACTCTTGTATTAATCTTGTGATTTCTGAATCAATTTAGTATTACAATATCCATACAAGTTTTTATATTATATATATATATATATATATATATATATATATATATATATATATATATATATAGGTAGGTAGGTAATGAAACATTTGGTAATCCGTATGGATAATCCCAAGGAGGATATAATCCAGAGAGCTCAGTGTCAAACCAGAGCAATTATTAATTCAATTTAATTAGAAAACAGACAACCTTAAGGGTCCATTGATTATATTTTATTTGGTTTTTACCTGGTTCATCAGATCGCATTTCCAAGGTTGAAAATATATATATATATATATATATATATATATATATATATATATATATATATATATATATATAATCTGTAATAATGAATAGTGTGACTTATTCTCTGTATTTCTTTGTTTCTATGTAATTTCTGTCAGGATGAAGAAAACAGGTATATAAAATTAAATGAATACTGCCTTGATTGACATATCTTGCCTGGCGGTAACCAATCAAGTAGCATATCTATTACACTAGTGTTCTGCTGCTTGAACAGCATGGTAAAATACTAAATCTGGCAGAATGCATAGAATCTCCACTGATCCTTAGTAGTGGGTCTGGAACAACATTTTGATCCTTGGCAGAAATACTGATCCATACCATAATTTTTACAGGTACTATGCTGATATATTGTATATAATATGGTTAATAGTTGGGCATAATACTCACAGACATTAATATGATTTACGACCATACAACATTGAAACACTGGTTCTCATATGACTACCAAAGTTAACCTATGCCAAGACTGGTTATTACCTAGATGGGTGACCACTTGGGAATACAAGGTGCTATAAGCTTGAATGTGCAGGTAGTATAATGGATAATGGCTCAAAATTGGAATTTGGAAATCTGAGTTCCAATTTCTGTCTAGTTTGTTATATGCATTTATGTGAAAATCCATCTTTCCCCCTCCAGTTATGAGTTAATTAGTAGGACTTGTATCAGTAAAACCATTATTATCTCCAAAAAATTCTTACAGTCTAAAAATATTTTCTGGCTTTAAATAACATGTAAAAGGTTGATAAGCCATAAAAAATAAATTTAATCACACAATTACAAACACAAATAACAGATATGTTAAGAAAGCATAGTTCAGTGCTGATGTGACTGATTTTTGTATTTAAGATCGCTCAGTTCAAAGTCTTTTCCTATCTTTTGAACAGGAGTAGAGGTCTATTCCTTGTTTCCTGTTTCAGATTGGGTTTCTGGTTCATTCTTCCAAAGTATTATTTTTCTTTCACCCCCAGTTACTCCTTGCATCTTAGTGGTACTATCACTTTGCTTAGTGGGGTGGAGTGATTCAAAAAAAAAATAAATAAATAAATAAAGATTATTACTTATTTCAACCAGATCTGTGCATCATAATTTACATCCCCTGATATCACACAAATATGTGATAATTCTTTTATCTCTCACTTGGAAGAAATATTAAAAAAAAAAAAAAAAAAAAAAAAGAAGGGTGTTGAGAATACCATGTACCGAACACGTTAGCAATGATAAAGTTATAAAGAAAATGGATACACAAAGAAAACTTATACTTTTTAAAATTTAAAGTTTAAATTTCTTGGGCTCATAATAAGGAAAGAGAGCTCAAAAAATTTGATACTCACAAGGCAGATTGAAGGCAAAAGGGATAGAGGAAAACGTCATATAACCTATCTAGTGAGGTTGAATAAATGGATAACAGAACAAAGTTTAGGATAACCACAATATAAAATTTATTAAGGGCTATAAAGGAGAGGAAATTATGGAGAGCCATGATTGCTAACATCTTGAAGGGACACAGCACATAGAAGATTTTAATCATCTCCAAGTTTCATTAATATCAATGTAAAGAACAGCTCCACAGAAATGTTGGCTTAAGCAATATTTCTGTTGAAAGTGAAATAGACACTAAATTGGATAATGAGATTGTACTCATCAGACTAGCTTTGTATGATTTTTTTAAAAACTTTTTGGCTATTGTTCTATTATACTTTCATTGTTATTGCAAATGGAAAGAATGCAAACAAAGCATAAGTGAAACACACAAATAATGCCTGCAAATATTTAAATGTTTAAATACAAGCAAACTCTTATGTCTAGTCTGTCTACTGACAATGAGACAATTATTTATAATTGACTATATGTCTACTTCTTCTTTGTGCCATGTCCCTTTAGGATGTAGTCTATCATGGCTCTCCACAGCTTCCAGTTTATTTGTAGCTCTGAGAAAGACTTGTCTTTTTCTATCAATTCTGGCATCTGTTCTGCTAACCATTTACACAAGCTGGGTAGGTTATTTGCTGAGCCTTCCTCTGTTCTTCATGCTTTCAACATATCCTGTAAGTTTTAAATTCTCCAAGCTCTCTTTCCTCATGTACCTTATGAGTGTCAAATTCTCCAAACCCTTTTCAATTGTCTCTTTTTGATTCTGTGTCCTTTTTTTTAATATCTACTTACATTTTCAATTTGTCTGTTTTATATCTAGAAGTGGCTATTTGTAAATGGGAACCTTTGCTTTTTGTTTTGCTGATTTCACTTTAAAAGGCATGAATAGCCATCTTTACCCATTTAGAAATATTGTTCTTTGAGCTTGACTGTGGAATTCACTATCTTTGAATTAATGTTGTGTATATATGTTAGTATGTTTTTTTCTTTCATTCTCAGATACTTGTGTATTCATTGCCAAAGCATCTTGAACTAATGTTACAAGATAGAATATCTTTAGATGAGTGTGGCATCAGGAATGTGGATGTTTAATTAAAACTGAGAGACAATTGAACAGCAGAGAGACCAAACCAGAAATCCCAGTAAGTTGGTCTCTGAGAGTGAATTTGATCTACATGTAGAAAGTAACATTAGAGTGCTTTCCCTTTTTTTTTCTCTCTCTTTCACACATACACGTGCACATTCTTAGATTGGTCAACCTTTCTCTCCCTACAACAACACTTTTTTTGCTCCAGCAACTATTCACATTTTCAAACAAAGGTTTCCAGTTGATGCAATGGATAAAATGGGACTTGTAATATTTTTAAATACCATGCTTTCATTTTTATTTCAGGGAGTATAAAAAATAATTTCGATCATTAACTTTCCCTTTTTCCTCAATCATATTTTTATCCATCAGAAGTTTCTCCCTGAAACTATTTGATAATTATGGTACATATTTGCCTATTGTCTGGCTCAAATTCCTACCTGGTGTTTTGAACAGGAGTAGAGGTTTATCCCTGGTTTGCTGTTTAGTATTGGGTTTCCAGCTTCTTCTAAAGTCTATTTCTACACTATATTTCTAATGTCTCCAACTGAACTCTGAAATGTTATTCGCTAATTAAATCTTGACCTCTTAACTATTATCTTTCCTGCATAACCCCAAGAATTTCATTTTTGCCCTTTCATACAGTAATACAACTCTATACAGTAACACTCTACCTTGGATGGCTCTTAGGCCTTGTTTTGGGTGCACATTAAGAAAAGAAAATAATCTCTTATAGAAAACATCTTTCAGTAATTCCTTAACCAGATTTCAAATTATCTATAGTTCTCCATAGCCTGTGTCTGTTTTTGTGTGCACTCACACACATGGTTTTCAACCAGTGCACAAAAGTAATTAATGTGTACATAAAAGATTATTGATTGATTTGTTTTGTACAGATTAAGTCAAGAAATATTTTTAGATTTTTAAGAATTTTTTTTCAGGTAATAATGCTTTTAGTAATACAAGACTTACTAATTAACCCATACCTGGGGGGAAAGAAGTGGATTCATACATTTCCCAAAGGTATTTATATGCAAGTGGGAACTAGAACTCTCTGATTAACAATTCCAAGACATTATCCTTACTCCATGTGCATATCCAAGCTTACAGCACCTGGTATTCCCAAGTGGTCACCCATCTAGCTACTGACAAGACACATCATTACTTAATTTCGGTGATTGTACAGGAACTGGTGTTTCAACATGATGTAGTTGTAAGTCACAAAACACTAGTCAATTCAAACAATGTAATAATTCATCAAGGTCTGGCTGCTACACAATTTTGAGCACACCCATCTGCGAAGAAAGCTACCAAATCCCTATTGCAGATACCTGCACAACGCATTCCATCTGAGGTTTATACTGCAACTAAGCTGAGTAGACCTTAGTTACAGTTTCTGGTTCTGTCATAATCAACATTTTTTTTAACATGGTCAACATGATAATGCCCTCAATTATGATGACTTGTGACTTTGTGCTTGCACAACCATTGACAGCCACCGAATGATTCTGTCTACTCAATTTCACACATAAGACTAGGGTTAACTTGTTGTAAGACTTTCAGGCACTTTCCAAAGGTACCGTGTGTTGGGATCGCATCCCCAGGCTGATATTATTAAGAAGTTACCTTCCATGTCACATCAACCATAGTGAAATTCAAACCTGGTACTAATGGCCAGAAAGTAAACATTCTAACCATTCAGACATGTGCCTATTGTAATAATTACTATGGATCATTATTGTTATTATTCAGTAGTAGTACACATGAAAATTTTTAGTTTTCATGTTTGAGTTTTCTGATGTGTCATAATATTTAATAAATAAATAAGCTCCTTGCAAGTTCTACGGTTACTATATATCTGTGGAAATTACCCTATTGCTTTGTTAAATATTTGAGCTTAACAACTGTCACAAAATATTGCAATAACATTCATAAGTATGAATGCAGGTCATTATTTAAAGAACCAAGAGGATACAAATGAAAAGATTTCAAATGACAAGTTTTTCCATTTCACTGAAGCAGACATTAAACATGAGAGCATTATCACATTCCCTATCTTCTATTTCTTTCTTCCTTTATCTCACTGAAACTAAACCCTGTTTCTGATATATCTTTCTTTAATTTATACAGATTAATCTATTATTTATGATACATTGGCAGGTCATAAGGTACCTGCTAAGTAACTAACTTGCTAACTAAAGAACAAACAGAATTATAATAGGATTATAATTCTGTGCCTTTTCATGATAATTGTTCTCATAAGTTATTAACTTTGGTATCTTAACTTCACAAATTTAAGCACAGTACTAGATTGGCAGTTAGGTCTCATAATGTCACTGTTGAAATTTCTAGTTGTAACTCTGAGTTCTGTGCTAATAGTTTCTTCTCACTTGTGGAACTCTCTTCTGGTTTCTTGCTTTTCTCTCAACTATGATCTTCAAAAATTTAAGTGCAATGTCAATTGTCATCTTCTGTCTTCTTGAATCCTGTTTTTTTATTATCCTCTCTGTTTTTCACTCTCAGTAACCCCACTGCATCCTCGTGGCTTTTATTCCCTGGTTTGGGTTGAAATGATTAAAAAAAAATACACTAACAGAAAAGAATCTCTTATTGAAGCGTATTTGTTAATTACTTTTTTTTTCTTAAATACAGCATTTATACGCTACTAATTTCCTGTGCCTGTTTCTGCAGTCATCCATGGTTACCTATTTTTGCTACAGGAAAAAAATTGTACATCTTGAGTTTTTTTGTGCATACAGATGATAAAAAAAACCCCAAAAAACTAGAGAGACCATTGAAAGCATATGTAGATGTTTGAAAGTATCCCTTCCAAACTCTGGCACATTACCAACATGACCCCACAGGAAATTCCAGAAGATTATGTCATCATTTTTTAAAATATTATAGTAACAGAGTTATGAAAACATCTTTATCAGTTTGGGGTTTTTATTAATTGGCTAGGAATGTGATGTGGCATTTTTTTTATAACAATATAAAGATCATTATCTCTTCTGGTATCATAGCTTTATATAAAGAGCATTATTTCTTCTGGTATCATAGCTTTATATAGAGAGTATTAATACTTCTTGTGTCGTAACTTAATATAAAGAGCATTATCTCTTCTGGTATTGTAACTTTATATAAAGTATTATCTCTTCTGGTATTGTAGCTTTATATAAAAAGCATTATTTCTTCTAGTAAATGGCTTTATATAAAGAACATTATTTCTTCTGGCATCGTAGCTTTATATAAAGAGCATTATCTCTTCTGGTATTGTAACTTTATATAATGAGAATTATTTGTTCAGGTATAGTAGTTTTATATGATGATCATTATTTGTTCTGTTATCGTAACTTTATATAAAGAGTATTATCTGTTCTGGTATTGTAAATTCGTTTTAATAGCAAAGATTTGTAATGGTAGTATAAAGAATTTAATTTTAAATCACTGAAAACATTATTATATTTGTGTTATGTCTCTTGGCTATATTTTAATTTTAGAAACTTTGTTCTTTCTGCCTAAACCAAAAGAAAGCCATTGGCCATTCATGTGTTTTTAACCTTTAACCTTTAACACTTTACATTATTCTCAAGTATCACTTCCCCATCTGGCCACCCCTTAACTGCAGTAACCTAACTTAACTTGATTTCAATCAAGTTTGTTTTTACTATTGCCAGAAGAGGACATCAGAATACAACTGCAACATTTAAATGCACTCTCGTTTGGCAATCAGTGTCGCCTGGAGTTGCAGGGCAAACATTTTCTCATAAAGTCACTTACAAATTTTTTTATTAATGATTTCTATTTTGCAAACATGTAGGCACATACACACATGTGCACACACACACAAGAAAAATATAATAGATTGAATTGTCTAGAATTAGAAGGAATGGAGACCGATTTTGAAAGACAGGTAAAAGTGTAACAGTCTGTGATGACAGTACATTTTGGATTAGGCCAATATCACAAATGGTAATGGTAATATTAGCTTTTTCCTTATAAGGAAAAATTTGATATTCATTGGCTGTGCAGCCAGTGCTATCATCCATTGTAATTTATGAAATCTTTCTCTTTAGGAAAATAGCTTTTCCAAGTTTACTAACTTCTTTTGCTTTTTCCAGTACTTTCCTAAACTTTTGTTTGGAATAGCGTGTAACGTCAACATCTTGTTTATATCATTATTTTTACTTTGAGTTACATATGATATCCATTTTAGTTGTTGCTGCTTTTGAAAGTCCTCAAGTGATGTGGTTTTGGTTATTTGGTACAGTTCTTTGTGATTCTGTACTGCCAGTTGATAAAGTTCAAACAAGGATGGTTCTTACTAAGACCCACAGACTTCATTCCCCCAAAGATATTTTTAACTATCGATCTGAGAAAGTGGTTGTATAGAGTTGATAATTTAGATAATTGTGAAAAGGTTTGACATCATGCTTACTGAAATATACAATCCACAAAGTTTATTTTTGTGTGTTATAGGTTTGTATAGACTTGGTATTTGTTTTGGCAGCTCAGGTCAAAGGGGTACTAGAAATGACTTGCAATAGACAACTTTCTATCAAACCTTGTCCCTTGCAACTAATTGTGTTAAATCTATTGATATTAATGGTTATCAGATATGGTTTGGGAAATTTATAACTTTTGAAAAATTTCAAAATCTTGTGGATTTCTTTGCTACTAGTTGATCATGTGATCTGGTCTTAATGCTGTGTATTGAAATACAGTGCTACCCAATTGCATAGACCTTGATCAGTACCTAGATGAGTGACTGCTTGGGAATACCAGGCACTCTAAGCTTGGATGTGAGGCTGGTGTAATGGATAATGGCTCAGAATTGTTAATTGGAAACCTCCAATTCTCAATGGGTTCATTATAGTCACTTATGTGCAAATACCCTTGGGAAAGGTATGCATACATCTGTTCTCCCCACAGCTATGGGTTAATTAGAAAGACTTGAATCACTAAACCAATATTAAAAAAAATTACAATTTAAAAATATTTTCTGGTTTTAAATAACCTGTAATGAGTTGCTAAGCCATAGAAGATCAATCAAAAAACAAATTAAAGGTGCATTCAAGTGTTCCTTGACTAAGTGTGTGAAACATGTGAGTAAATCTGAGTACTTCCATCCTGTGACTGGTCTGGTATGGTCTGAATGTGGAGTTCATTTTGAGTGTATCAAGAATGAGATAGGTGGATAGAGCCCAGCCCTTTTCAGGTTAAATAATTTTTGGGTAACTCAAAAATGTTATTTCCTGAGTATTCAAGTTAGAAGTGCTGGTCTCTCTCTTTAGTATGTAGTTTTCATTTTGATACTTGTTTGGCATGCCTTGTAAAGAATAAAGTCACTATCAATGATATATAAAACAAGCATATTAACTGCTGTACTACTGTATGTGTGCGTGTGCATCAGTTTTTATTAGTAATAGCAACAGCAGCAGCATTAAGTTGACTGTGGTTAAAGATAAAGTGAAGTCAGCTTCATTGCTTTCTTCCAGCACTCAAGCAGAAGGAGGCACGGTTTCTGTTTTTAGTTTGTTTGTTCTCTTTTTCCAGTACAAGGAATTTGGTCTATTTAGCCTATAGTCTGGTTCTTGAAAGTAACTCTTTTGTTAGGAATTAACTACAAGACTGGGAATTTGTCTCTGAACTATTCCTAATTGCTGTGCATGTATTCTATGCTGTGTACATTCTAAAAAGATGGGCAGGCACAAAAATGCTGAGACCTTGTGATCTATTTCTGAGCCATTTCTCCAGATATTCAAAGCCAAAAATAGGAGTGTTAGAGAAGAAAAAAATAGTTGGGCATTCTCAAAGTAAACTGTTGTCTTTTAACAATTGTGGCTAAAAGATCTCTTCAATGCTGACCTCTTCTAGTTAGTGTTCTTTCACCTGTATTGTTGAATTCAATTTGTTCTCAATCAGCCATAACCGTCTTTTTATATTATTTTGCTTTTCCAATAAAATTTGAATGTTTGTTACATTGGGATAATGGTCTTTGGTGCCTTATGTTTGCAGAAAAAAAAATTATATAAGTCTGACATATTTTTAGTGACTAGCAAGGCTATCCTGCATTGTCTGGGTGAAATATTTTCATAGCATCTACACTGATGAGCTATTTTCACTGGGGACCCAACTGCATAAATTTAAGGGTGCTGCTAGGTTGGCATCTCAGTCCCACCCTTTTAGTGTCAAAACAGTTTAATGTAACCACTACTTTTATTCCAACAGCATCTTCTCTTGCACTTCCCAACAGCGAAACTCCCTTCCTCTTACTTGCTTCCCTGATAACTATAATCTTTAAAAATTTAAATGTAATGTCAATTGACATCTTCTGTTGCCTTTACTCCCATTCTTCTTTTTATCCTCCTCCATTCTTCTTATCCTTTCCTCAACTTTCATACCCAGTCTTGCTTGGGTTGAAATGCTTAAAAAATAGTTTCTAAGCTTAGGGATCTTTTATTTATTTCAGTCAACTTTGAAGTCAGTAATTAATTGAATTGAAAAGATTCATACAGATCTATTAATAAGAGAAAGATCATTTAGTTGTGCAAATCTCTTAACATTATAGCACAATATCAAAGGCTTTTTAACTGTGACTACTTTGGCTAAAATGTTTTTAACTTCATTTTTTATCACTATTAATTAGAATTAAATATACATTTTAGCTTTATATTCTCATTTCTTTAAGAAATTGGCTTATTTCTAATAAAATGTTCAGTCTAGTATCTACCTGCTATTCCTTGCAAATATTTAAAAATTTTAAGAGTTTAAGTCGTTAGTATTGCTAATAGAGATACTGCTACACTTTAATGTGCTGTGTCCCTTCAGGATATGGGTGATTAAGACTGCCCACAAATTCTTGACCTTTGTATCTCTTATTAAAGTTTCCCTTTTTGCTATCCTTCCTAATCCCTGTTTTACCAACCATTTACACAAGTGTGTTTGGTAGTTTATTTGCTGCTTTCATCTTCTGTTTTGTCTTTAATATATCCTGTGAGTGTCAAATTCTCCAAGCTCTCTCTTTCTGATTCTAAGAATAAGCATCCTTTTTATTTCCTTATAACTTCCTTCTTACTTATGTTCAGTCTATGGTATTTTCAAAATGCTTCTGTAGATCCAAATTTCTGTTGCCTGAAGTCTCTTCTTCACCTGTAAGAAAATTTTCCAGCATTCACTGCCTTATTGGAGGATTGATATTACAGTTGAGCAGTCTTTTCTTTGTTTCTAACAATTTTTCTGTTTCTTAATACTTTTCTTAGCTTTTAGAAAGCAATTTTTAACTATTTCACTGTCTCTTCAGATTTCCCCGTTGCACTTTCTGTCCTCCGTCTGTTAAAATACTACCCAGATATATAAATTGTTGTACTTGTTTGATTTTGGCATCTCTAATGTTATATTGCATGCTAATAGGAATATATACTTGAAAAACAAGGTGGATAAAATAAGTAAAGGTTTATTGTAAAAAGCCAGGACATTAAGAATAAAGGTAACAGTTATGTACAAGGTCATTGCAAGTCAATCCAGTAGTGGGTGCTACTAATGGAAGGTTGGTAGTTCATGTGTAAGTCTGAGTCGTACTCAACAGATCCTAGCTAGACAATATTTACCAGCCTCCCCACAAGGTAGGATGTGGCACAAGGCTGAATTTAATGTGTGGCAATCCAAGCCCGTAACCCTGCATAAATGTGTTCAGGTCTGTCTACCTCCCCGAATGAGGGTTCAACAACAGCTAAGATCTGAGTAACAGATACCAGTTAGTATATTTAGCTACCCCCCCACGAGGGTTGCGTGTGGCACAAGGTTGGTTTAACGTGGGTTCTTTGAGCCTGTGAGCTCAGCCAAAAATATTCCCTTTTGAACCTGTATAAACAGATTCAGGGGCAGTCTACCTCCCCGAACGAGACTCTGTCCTTTGGCAGAGCCTCGTCCAGGTTTCTCTCTGCTCAAAGACAGAGAGTTTGACTGTTTAGCTGGAACAGGTTGCAGCTAGTATATTTAGCTACCCCCCACGAGGGCTGCATGTGGCACAAGGCCGGTTTAATGTGGGTTCTCCGAGCCAGTAGGCTTGGCCAAAAATATTCCCTTTTGAACCCGTATAAACGGGTTCAGAGGCAGTCTACCTCCCCAAACGAGACTCTGCCGTTCGGTGGAGCCTCATCCAGGTTCCTCTCTGCCTGAAGGCAGAGAGTTTGACTGTTAGCTGGAACAGGTCGCAGCTAGTCTGTGTATTCCATTGACTTACAGATACTTATAGGCAGTTACTACCTATAGTGTAGTCACTCATAGGGGTGACAGGTTATTCCATTATATCTGCAGTCATTGTTGATCAAATCAAAACTGCTGATTAACAATAATCCTGATCATGCAACACAGGAAATTGCAGAGATGCTCCACATATCTCATATAAGTATTCTAAGGCAATTGAAAACAGTTGCATACATGAATCTCTATATTGTTTTAGTGTCTTCCAATTTAACAGAAAAAAAAATTAATAGACAGCATTTTCATCTGCATTTCTCGGCTCAATGCAACAGAAATGAGCTGTTTTTAAAAAAAAACAATGAGAGACAATGAATTATTTTACAACCATGTGAAGTGAAGAAAGGTCTTGGAGGGAAAAAAAAAGAAGAATCTGTTTACATCTGAAGGTGATTCTGTTGACTTGGTGAGATTGGAAAGGTATTGTCAAGAGTTCCTTCTGCAAAATCAGATGTTGAATGCACTGTTCCCAATTGAACTGATTAAAAACATAATGGAAGAATTAATGAGAATTGTTCAGTAGTGGTCAATGGAGGCACATTGGAGTAATGGATAGTGGCTCGGATTGAGGAATTGAAGAGTTTGAATTCCAGTCAAATCCATTACATTCACTTAAATGCTAATACCCTTGGGAATGGTATGAATCCTCTTCTTCTCCCCCTAGCTATGGGTAAATAGCAGGACAGACTAGGTTCTATAGCCTTGGATGGCAACTGGTCTACTGCAGAAAGAAATTGCAACCTACTGTGGGAAAAATCTGCCCCGTTAGTCATGTATCGAAAGATATGATGTGTATGACGTATGACACATAACTGAGTGGTCAATAAAAAACATATCATCTTCCATCAGGAGAATGTCACACCTCATATCTCTGCGGACCCGGCAGAAATTGCTACATTTTGTCTGGGATGTCATTCTGCACTTGAAATACTCCCACTGACCTTGCATCTTTGGTTACTAATTATTTTGATCGTTACCAAATTTTGTTAATGGGAAGGACTAATTCTTTTGAAGCCTCTATAAAACCACTTAGACAAGTTCATTGCCCAAAAAGGTGCCTAGTTCTGGGAAGACAAAATACAAAGCTGATTTGAAGAAGGCAAAAGATAATAGAGGAAAATGGTAATTATGTGGTTGAATAAATCTATATACAAATACAAAAATATTGCCTCTGACATTCATTAAAAAATTTTCTAAACCAAAATTTTGATTTCCAATTAGATTTAAGGTCTTAGCAGATTTATGTTTGCAGTATCACACTGAACAAACCATGAAAGAATGAATTCTTACGTTTTTAATTATCCTTATTATGCAAATGTATCATGTATCATGATCATGTATAAAAGTATCATGGTAATAGTGTGTAGATATCTTGAGTACCAGGGAAGATACTGTGTATCAAGTTACAGCAAGGACTTTAGAAAAACAGTACTTTATGAAGGATGTTTTCTGTACCCAATAAAGCAGATATACAAAGTGTATTTTACACCAAGTTATTTGGCATATTCTTTAAACTTTAAAGAGATAGAGCTGAGTGCCCCAGTCACTACCAGGATGACTTTAACATTTTTCTCTTGAATTTTCCAAAATTTAGCAATCTCAACCTTCAGAATATTTGCTGATATTTTTTCTATTTGCTTTACCAATATATTATTATTATTAATAATAGTGGTCATGGTGGTGGTGAAAGTACATATGGATCAGATGCCATATCTTGTTTCACACACTTGATTTGATTTGCTGTCTTATTGTGTACTATGAATAATGAAATTACATTAATCTAAGTGAGATGACTTATTCAGGGAATCTATTAAAAAAAAAGCTCTTCCTTGCATACAAGCACAAACATTCCGTTTCTCTCTGCTTATTCCCGTCTGTTTGCATTTATTGCTCAAGATGGTTTAAGAGGTAGAACACTGGAAAAACTAATCTAATAAACTTGTTTTAAATTCAGGTTTCTTTCATTGTTGTGCTGATATTTGTAGGAACAGAATTAACTCCAAACTTCTCATGCCTTGTAATCTTTCTCTAAAAGTATATATAGAAAGAGGGTATAAATGTTCATGTGCGTTAAAGGACCCTTCTATCTCACAAAAATATGATTAAGAATAGCAGTTGTGTTTTCTTATTCTATATGTTGTGTCCCTTCAGAACATTAGCGATCATGGCTCTCCACAATTTCCTGTCTTTTCTAGCTCTGAATACATTGTTTTTTTCTTATTGCTCCTAAACCTTGTTCTATCATACATTAACTCAAGCTCACTACGTAGGTTATGCATGGTTCTCCCCTGTCCTTCTTGTCTTTGTCTTTCTTGGGAGTATCAGATTTTCCAAACCCTCTTTCCTTGTTATGTATCCTAGAAATTTCAACTATCTCTTCCTGATATTAGGTATAAGTGTCTTTTTCATTTGCATTTTCTCTAAAGGCTTACGGTCATATCATGTTGAAAGACTGGTTCCTGTATGATCACTGAAGTTAAGCAATGTTGGGCCTGGGCACTACCTAGATGGGTGACTTTTTGGGAATACTAAGTGCTGTAAGCTTCAATGTACGAATAGTGTAATAGATAATGGCTCAAAATTGTTAATCAGGGAGCTGAGTTCCAATTCCTGTTGGGTTTGTTATATTCACTTACGTGCAAATACTTGAGAAAGCTTTGAATCCACCTGTTCTACCCCCAGCTATGGGTTGATTAATAAGACTTGTCTCACTAAATTATTATTATCTCCAAAAAAATTCTTACAAGTGAAAAATATTTTCTGGATTTAAATAACCTGATAAGCTGTGAAAAAAATATTTTCTCTAAAACTTTGTTATTGCTCATGTGTTCAGTTCATAGTATTCTCAGCATCCTTCTGTAGAACCACATTGTTGCTTCAAATCTCTTCTTCATATGGGAAGAGATTGTTCTGTGGCAGGGGTGATATCACCCCTGAAATAATAATAATAATAATAAAGGAGGATATGCTGTAAAACAGAAACCGCCAAGTGAAGAGAGGCATTTTCAAATAATATACTGTAAAGACTTTGAAATGTATATGTTACAGAAAGTTAATATAGAAATGAAATACAATCTTTTTGTAAGTGTACAAAGGATATCAGATTACTAATAAAAAAATTACTGGAACAATAACAATTTGGAACTTTAAAAAAAGAAATGGATTTTGACACTATAAGAGTCAAAGTTAAAATTAAGGATCTTTTGATCTAGAATTTATTTTTAAAACAAGAATCTCTGTAGTTACAAAGTTCGGCAGAATAATTAATAGTGAGGTGATAAACAATGGTGTCTTGTTGTGAACCATGGAAACTAATTGATGAAAAAAGTAAATTGTTTATTCTTGAATGAGTGAAGTTATACTTTGGAGTATGTCAGTATGATTGCACTAGACAGAAACAGATATGTCACAGTCTGGAACACGTGAATAAGAAGAGGTGAGCCAACTGGAGAGAGTTTTGGGTTTGTCGTCTTCAAATGCAGTCGAACTGAGTGAAGAGATGTCAGATTGAAAAGGAAGCATCCGCTGTGTGTTTCTGAAGCTGAGGGTGAAGAAGCGAAATACCACTGCTAACATCTAAGTACCACTACTCCTGCTACTACTACTACTACTGATAACGGGAACATTGAAGGTTGTAGTAGTTGCACTAAGAACAGACCAAAAAGGGTTAAAACAAAGGTCACATCTCTCCTTTACCGAAATTACTCAAAGTATTTGTGTTTGTTTGGTTATTGAGAAACATTCAACCTTGTGCAACAAGAATTATTTTTTGTGTGTGTGTTTGCTTTTATATATATTAAAAAAACCTTTGTCCTTTCAAAATCGAATTGACTTGGTTATATTTATTTGTCTGTTAACCCAATTCTCACCCGACGGACTCGCAGGTGGACAACGGAGAGATTCCAGATTTCTACGATCTGATGACCACTCTCCAGGATCAAAACAATCACAATGTAGCTGGAGGGTGGCTTCGAATTGACATTGGGAACCGAAGACTTGTGACTAACCTGTAATACTGGATCATACCAGACCAACAGCCGGTCTGGTGGAGTGCGTGTATCCAGTGGGGTGAGGAATACAGTGTTACAGTTCAGCATTCACTGCCATTGAGGAGGACTGATATTACATAACCATCCAATACTCTTTTCTTTGTTTCTAATGAAATATGCTGAGTTCAAATTCCAACCATTACATTTGCTTTTGCACAAATACACTTAATAAAGTTATGAATTCATTTCATCTCTCTGTAGCTATAGGTTAAATAGCATTGCAGACTGGGTTCTAGCTTTGATTGGCATCCAGTCTAGGAGAAGGACAGCTTTGAATTGCCAATTGGATGGGTGCAGTGCTAGCAACTCCACCTTATAAAAACCTATTTGATATAGAAACCAAATTCTCAACAGTAGCATGGGGAGACTGTGGCCCTATATTTCGTTGGGAGTCTACAGAGGTTAGAATATATATATATATATATATATATATATATATATATATATATATATATACAATGTTTTTTATTACTTCAAACTTTATTATAATGGATACTAGTATTTGAAATAGGCACCCCATTTTTTCATTTTTTTGAATATGCATTTTATAAATTATTACTATATTTTATAATTATTTATTTTAATAGTGTGTATTGCATCTAACAGCCTGCCAATTCAAAAAATCTTAATTAATATTAAAAATTGTCAAATTAAAAATAAATTCATTAATTCTTTAGAAAGATACATACAATGTGCAAAGATGAATAAGAAAAAAAAGAAAAGTTTACAGAAGGCAAAACCAGTATTTGAAGCAAATTACATAGTTCAGTGTACAGAGTCTCTGCATTAGGTTGAGTGGAAAGCCATGATCCTGAAGAGGCATGGCACATAGAAAAAGAATACCAATCCTACTATCTGTACCAATGACCAATATGTTAAATTATCATATATATCATTGTACATTACTCTTATTAACTGTTGCCTCACCATTCACATTTCTTATGTGAGTGTCAGCTGCTGTACGGCTGGATTTGGTCAAGAACACAAGGACTTGTTACAGCATTACTCTTAGCTAAACTAAAAGCAGTGGTAACAATATTTTGCACATGTGTGTGATGAATGTAAAAAAATGGAACAAATTCCAACAAGGCGATATTTTTGTTTTTATATAACTGAGAGAAATTGCGCTAGTATTCATGCAAAGAAAGAAAACATTAAAAGTTAGAAATTGTGCAAGTAATATGTGTGGATGAATAAAGTTCAGTCACTAAGAGGGAAAAAGATGTCCATATACCCAGGAGCAAGGTAACGTTGTTGTTGTTGTCACTAAAGCATTCTGGGAGGAAATGAGATGAAGACAGGAAGTGTTGCTTTATATATATATATATAATATATATATATATATATATATATATATATATATATATATATATATATTTTTTTATTTGTTGGGCAGCGCCACCTAACGACTTCTTGGTGAAACTGGCCAAGTTATGTAGGGATAAGCCACAGACTTCTCTTTGTTTGTCTCTCATATTCATAATTCTAAAACTCTTAAAAATAAAAAGAAGCCATGTCAGTCATACAATAAAAATTGCTTTGTCTGCTGTTGTAAATGCATCACATTTTCATTATTAATTTCTGAGAAAATAGCAAACCAGTATTACTTTCAGGACTATTCCCTTTCTTCATAGGAGTGTACAAAAAGTTATACACACAAAAATGAAATAATTCTAGATACAAATGTGTTGGAACAGTGTGCCAGAACAGTAGCCTGGTTTGAAAATCACTTAATACAAATAAAGAAAATAAGTACAAAGATGAACATGTTAGTCAAATCTGATGTTAACAGGGACAAGAAATGGCTTGTTAATTTTAATGCCTCCAAAATGAAACTTCTCTTTATTAAACATCTGAGGAACTCCTTTCTGCCTTCCATCAGCATGGCGGATGCTAACCCACAGGAGCTAACATTTTCTGCTGATATAAAGTGAGATGATTATATTGAATCAATTACTAGATCAGCTGCTAAGAATGTTGGTTTAGTGTCATAGTAGACAATTTTTCTCTCCATAACCTATCTTATAAATAAGTCTACCATTCATGGATGCTTTGAATATTGCTGCCACATATGGCTTGGTGCTCCTGCTATATATTTAGCGATTCTTGATAAAGTCCAAAGTAGAATCTGCAATCTTATTTGTCCTGACCCTGTATCTCGACTACAGTTGCTTTCCCACCAATGTAATGTAGTTTCTCTAACTTTTCTATAAATAGTTTCATGGTAACTGTTCTGATAAACTCTGCTCTATGGTACGAGACATTATGTATTTAAGCACAGTACTAGATTAGCAACCATAAGTTCTATAATATTTTCTTATCTCACACTTCTCACTTGTGGAATTCTCTTCAGGCTTCCTGCTTTGATGTTCAAAAATTTAAATGCAATGTCATTAATTATCTGCTCTCTTCTTCATTACTCTTCTTTTATTGTTCTCTCTCCTTAATAATGTTTCCTTGTGTCTTAGTGGCTTTATTGCCTTGCTTGAGGTGAAATGATTAAAAAAAAGGATCTAGCTTATTTAGATTATTAACACATTGTCCTCATCTTTGTTGTTATTATCACAGTATTTCGGTCATTGTTCCCTTTGACCTTCATCAGGTTTTTATCAATCCAGATACTCTTCAGAGAATTTTCAATTGGATATTTCATTTCATCTATGGGGACAGATTGTTCTCATTCAACTGACCATGTCTATGGATATCTTGTGTAAATCTTGTGTAGTACTGCTCAGTTATTCTTCGTCGTGTTTCCACTAAGTCTAAGTCTTAGTGAAAGCTGAAATGCACAAATGTTGTAATAATAACAACAAAGATATGGACAACAGTCTGATTGAAAATAATGTAAATAATGCTACCCCTCTCCCCATGTCCCAGAAATTCAGACATAGATCTTGCTTACTTATTTGAATTTAGAAGGAAACTAGGAAAAAAAGTTTTCTGGAAAATTGTTTATCAAAATTTGTCATGAAAGTTTTAAATATAATTCAGCTTTTAGAGAAATTTTGCTTGAAAGCATCAACTAGAAATCAAGGAGAAAAAAATTAGTAAGATCTAAAAAATACTTACTTTGGAAGTTTATGTCTTGGGGCAAATATTTCTTTCTGAAAAGAAAAATTAAAAAACTGCTGAGGAGTTAGAAAATATATGAATTTATGTTCCTTAAAAGAGAGTTTTCTACTTAAAAAAGAAAAACACTCTCAGTATTGATAAAAAGGATCTTTGATTATGAATATAAATTTATGAAATTAAATCTGTTTTTTGTGATAGTTTATTTATATTTCTTTCTTTCTATAAATCTACTTTTCTTTTTGTCATCTCTCTCTCTCTCTCTCTCTCTCTCTCTATATATATATATATATATATATATATATATATATATATAGAGAGAGAGATATCACCACTTGGTATTGACTTGATTGTCAACTTTTATTTTTATATTTATATACACTCTAGCTTTGATATTGAGGACTTTTACTCATATTATAGCAAA